GTGACCTCCGTTGTCGGAGCTTGTTTGAATAAGCTATCTATTGTGATTTTTAGACAGCCTACAATGAGTCGTAGAATTTTAGTGAATAATGGTTTTATGAAATAGTCGATAACCTGATTCGCAAGTGGTTACAGAATTTTTGACATAGTTCGTTATTGAGGTGCTGCACATTGTGGATTACACAACATTGTGTATTGGTATCCGTTTTCATCTACCAAGGGTAGTATGAGGTGTTTGGTTGACATTTATGACATTGTTTGTAATGGTACGTATTGTTTTCCTTCATTATTTATTCTTAGTTTGGATATTATACTTAGAAACCCACAGCTTGAGACACATGGTATATATATGAGGGTTTCCTTATTTGGATTATTTCGTTCGACGTACCAGTCTAGTGTTGTGGATTTCTAAATATAAATTCCAGTTAGTACGGGATAAATGAATTAGGTAGACTATGCATATTATAGGTAGAGCCTTCATTATACTTAGTAGCCCTTCCCCTGGGGGGCGGATGAAGATAATCTTGCTAGCGCTCTGACGTTGTTGTTTTCCCTTCTTTTCAGGCAGCGGATCAGTGTTTCGAAGAGCCACAGGTTGACGAACTTTCAGCATAGTCACCGTCGTTTATCCGTAGTAGATTTGCTCCACAGTTGTTTAGTTATGATCTCTAGACTTGTATTTTATTTTGGAGGCTGAGAGCCTATGTACTTTTCAGTTGATTCTTACATTTGAGCTTATTTACTTCTTATTTCAGATTATTAGATATATATCTTTTTCTTTAGTTGAGACTTGTTAATACTACTGTTGGACCATGATTTTGGATATTTATGGTGTCTTTTTTCTTTATCATGTTCATTGTATGATTGTCTTTCTTATGTATGCTTGTACCTACACTGTTTTTATTTGATTCCACTAGAGAGATATTACTGTGATGGTGAAACGTGTTGTTACACAGTGTTAGGTGCATGACATATTTGACATCTCTGGGTTTACCTTGGACTGCAGCCTCGGTGAAACCAGGGGCGTCACATCAAAACAACTAAAATGGCCAAAATCATTGGTCATATCTCATGAGATTATAAATTTTGGCCTTTTGATATATTAGTTGCATGTAAGTTGAAACCATAAAAATAGCCAATATTCATGGATTATAGCTCATGAAATTGTGGTTTACAGCTTATAAAATCGTGAATTTTTAGCTTTTAAGAAAATAGTTGCTTACAGATCAGTACCACTAAAATTGGCAAAAAATCGTTAGTTATAGCTCATGAAATCATGAATTTTGACCTTCAAAAAATTATTTGCCAATGCTATAAATGGCTAAAAATAGTGGTTATAACTCATGAAATCGTGAATTTTGGTTTTAGGAAATTAATTGTCAAGAGGTCAAAACCTCCGAAAATGGTCAAAAATTGTGTGTTATGCCTCATGAAATCATGAATATTTTCCTCCACAAAAATTATGGGCTATAGCTCATCAAATTATGAATTTCGGTCTCCGTGATTTGGAAACGGGTCGTAACCACTTAATGGTCAGAAATCATGGCGTACAGTTTATGATGTCACAGGTTTTTTGCTTTTAAAATATTATTTACCTACAGATCGAGACCACTAAAAATGGCCAAAATCGTGGGTTATAGCTCATGTAATTGTGAATTTTTACCTCCCGGAAATTATTTTTCTTGCGTGTGAAAACCATTAAAAATAGCCAAAAATCATAGATTATAGCTCATTAAAATGTGAATTATAGCTCGTGTAATTATTTGCCAACGGGTTGAAATCAATAAAAATAGCCAAAAATCATGGGTAATAGCTCATGAAATCGTTAATTTTGGCATCCGAGGGATCATTTACCAACATGTCAAAATCACTAAAATTGTAAAAAAAGTAATGGGTAATAGCTCATGAATATGTTAATTGTGGCCTTTCGGGAAATTAGTTGCATTGAAACAATAAAAATGGTCAAAATTCATGGGTTGTAGCTCGTGAATTTTAGCTTTTGATAAGTTATTTGCTTGCAAATCAGAACCACTAAAATTAGCAAAAACATTTTTGTTATAGCTCATTGAATCATGAATTTTAACCTTCATAAAAACTATTTGCTAACGTTTGAAATGGCCAAAAATAGTGATTATAACTCACAAAATCGTGAATTTTGGCTTCAAGGAAATTAATTGCCAACGAGTCAAAACCACTAAAAATAGTAAAAAAATTGTGAGTTATAACTCGTGAAATCAATAAATTTTTTCCTCTACGAAATTATTTGCTCATGGATTTAAACCATAAAAATTGGTCAAAAATTATGGGTTTTAGCTCATGAAATTGTGAATTTTTGCCGCCTAAAAATTATTTGGCTACATGCGGAAATTATTAAAATAGCCAAATAATTGTGGATTAGAGCTCATGAAATTGTAAATTATAGCTCATATAATTATTCACCAATAGGTTGAAACCACAAAAATAGCCAAAAAATCATGGGTTATGGCTCATGAAATCGTTAATATTGGCTTCTGGTAGATTATTTGCCAAGGGGTCAAAACCACTAAAATGGACAAAAATTGTGGGATGTAGCCATGAAATTATGAATCTGGGCATTCGGGGAAATTAACTGCCTATAGATTGAAAATATAAAAATGGTCAAAATTCTTGGGTTATAGCTCATGAAATCGTGAATATTAGGTTTTGAGAAAATAATTGGTTACAGGTCAATACCATTAAAATTGAAAAAAAAAATTCATTGGTTACAACTCATGAAATCATGAATTTTGGTATTCAGAAAATTATTTGTCAATACTATAAATGGCCAAAGAAAGTTGTTATAACTCATAAAATCATGAATTTTAGTTTCAATATAATTGATCACCAAGGGGTCGAAACCACTAAAAATGATTAAAAATCGTTAGTTGTAGCTCATGAAATCATAACTTTTTTCCTTTAGAAAATTATTTGATCATAGGTTGAAGCCACTAAAAATGGTCAAAAATCATGAGTTATAGCTCATCAAATTGTAAATTTTGGTCTCCTCAAAAATATTTGGAAACAAGTCATAACCACGTAATGGCCAGAAATCATGGCTTATAGCTGATGATGCCATGAGTTTTTTGCTTTTAGGAAATTGTTTGCCTGCAGATCAAAACTACTAAAAATGACCAAAAATACAAGTTATAGCTTATTAAATCCTAAATTTTTGTCTCCCAAAATTTATTTGCCTACATGTGGAACAAATAAATATAGCAAAAAAATCATGCAGTATAGCTAGTGAAATTGTGAATTATAACTCATGTAATTGTTTGCTAACAGGTTAAACCCACTAAAAATGAACAAAAATCATGGGTTACAGCTCATTAAATCGTCAATTTTGGCTTCTAAGAGACTATTTGCTAACAGACCAAAATAACTAAAATGGCCAAAAATCATGGGTTATAGCTCATGTAATGGTGAATTTTACCTTCCGATAGATTATTCGCTAGCAGTCAAAACCACTAGAATGATCAAAAATCATAGGTTATAGCTCATGAAATTGTGAATTTTGGCCTTCTGGGAAATTAGTTGCCTATAGGTTGAACCATAAAAATAGTCAAAATTCATAGGTTATAGTTCATGAAATCGTGGGTTATGGCTTATGTAATCGTGAATTTTAGCTTTTAAGAAATTATTTGTTTATACACCAAAGCAACTAAAATTGGTAAAAAAACTGTTGGTTATAGCTCATGAAATCATGAAATTTGATATTCAAAAAATTATTTGCCAATGCTAGAAATGTCAAAAAATAGTGGTTATAATTTATGAAATCGTGAATTTTGACCTCCAGAAAATTATTTGCTAGCGCTAAAAATGGCCAAAAATATTGGTTAGAATTCATGAAATCGTGAATTTTGGTTTCGGGGAAATTAATTGCTAACGGGACGAAACCACTAAAAATAGTAAAAAAA